GTAGGATCCAGCACCCAAGGAAGATGAGCTGTAGCCTTGGTTACATACATTTTAGGCTGCATAGGCTTTTGGGCTTTCCTTTGCTATCATTTCCATTCTTCGGTTTTGCCATTTGCACACAGTGTCCAGTGGATCTCTACAAAGCCTTGAAGTTGTTTCCTGAATTTCACATCACAACTGTGAACGGCTTGCAGGTACAAATTTGCAGTTGTTCCAATGCTGACGGACAGGCAGCTGAGCAACGCAGCGCTGCTCATGCTCGAGACAGCAAAAGATGTTGTCCTCTCGCTGTAGGAAGGCATACAGTAGCTGAAGACTATTCAGCTTTTGACTACATAAAGCAGAGGGTGATATTAAGCTCTTTGCACCCGCTATTATTGCTAATGTCCAGCATATTATCTTACAAAAGAAAAACAATCTCTGGATGGAAAGAGCACACTGCTGCAGTCTGCAGACTCCTCTAGCTTTTTTACACCACTTTTTTAAGAGAGAAGTCATAGAGATCAGTGACTTTCTGCTCCAAATGTCATGTTGTTCAAGTCTGCAGCCTTTCCAGTCAGGATCTGCTTTAATTTTTAAAGAAATCAAAGTGTTCCTCCGCAGACCATATACGTGTATTTGAAATACTGTTACAAAACATTAACATTGGTGTAATTCAGTTCGGAGTTAAAGTGGTAGCACTAAGATAAAATAAGTAAGAGCCTGTTAGAAGGGTAAGACTTCCAATTCACTTTGACCAGTTCAGACAAATATTAGGAAATCACACTCCTTTTATTCTTCTTCAAAAATTGCTGCTTCGTTACAGCCACACACACTTTTACTGAAGAGAACGTGAAGAGTACAGTAAATTACACGCAGGATTTAACTTTCTCATTCCACCAGCTCGGTCTGGGTCAAGATTGCCAATGCGTAAGAACAGATAGTGCAAAGTGGTACATCATTTACAATTGAGAGATTTTTAAAGAGCGGCATTGTTTTCACTTTTATAGCTTCATTATTCCAGATTTAAAGCAGGGAGGTAAATGGTAAATTAAAACAAATTCATTTTCCATCTGCATTAGCATCAATTCAACAAAAGCACAAGCATAAGCTCTAGCAGCTGCACTTACACCTGCCAAAGTTTTCAGTGTTTATTAGAAAGCCATGAAGTATTTCAGCTTTCAGGAACCCATGCTAAAGGAAACATATCTAGGACTGACTTTTCAAAAGCACTCATTTAATTTTTGAACAGAAAATTGAGCTAAAATGTGGGAAACTCCAAATTCTAACTAGTTTTGAGGAAGGGGAGAGAGATTTAAAGTTGGCCTGGAGGTCACTTACACTGCACAAATAAAGTCATTGGAGAAATAGATCCAGCTAAACGTAGGTGGAATTCCTCCTGTAGGTGTATTTCTACTAGCAGAAATACGCTCTCATCAGAATAATCTGCCTTTGAAAACACATTTGGAGGAACGCATTAGGAAAGATTACTTTTCATTTGCCTAAAGAGCACCGGAGCATACTTTCAAAACTTCTGTGATGCAGGGAACAGGTATGCAAACCTAGGACTCACACTTTGGAGTTTCAAATGAATCAATTTGTTAAGAGTGACTCACCTCCGACAGGAGGCCTAAACTACAGTTATTTATGTGAAAATTTTATATGCAAAGGGAGTATTTGTAAAAGCTCCTCAACTTGAGCATAGCAACACCACCAGTTGCAAATATTTGGCGGAGTTATAAATACTTTATTAGTTTTAGTGTAATAGCCCTCTTACATAGAAATCAGATAAATAGTTACAAAATACTGTATACAAGTTTGAAATAGATGTTGTTCAAAAGCTTGTAACAGGGGCAAGTTATTTTAAATTCTGCTGTAGAATAGAAACCTTCCTGGAGACCGTATCGAGTGGAATAATCCAGTAGTCTGTTCTAGGGATCTTTCTTTAGCGCAAGTGAAATGTCTAGGCTCTGAAGGTTTATGCCTGCACGTTCCGATTTCTGGCCAGCTTAGGTGTCTGCAGCAATCACCGAAGAATTTATCCCGAATTCCAGATTTCTGAGCGTCTTTTTTTCTTTCTGTGCAAAAGTGATGATAACTGTACCTGGTACTCTCTCCATCCTTCTCCAGTTTGCAACTGTTCTCCATGTACCATAGAGCTAATTTGGATACCAGAAACCCTACTGCTAGTTTTAAGTGCCACTGAACACTAGCCTACTTCACATTGTCACGCAGAGCCTGTTAATGCTACTATTTTTGCTTTTTCATTGGAACTTCTATTGTCATAAAATCCTCAGCTAGTGTTACTTCTTGACCATCTAACACTGACTCTGCCTGTCTCTTCAGTTCTGTTATGTCAGTATCTCCTTCACCTATTTGAGCAGTTGGTTTATATCGTTGACTGAAGTGAGTCAAAACGAGTTTCTTAACTTTACACAATTTTGCAAAATCAGATGCCATTTTTGGAGTGCTATGACCATGCTCTCTGGCCTTTTCCTCTTGGCTATCATCCAACGTGGCTTCATGAATCAATATATCTGCTTCATAGCAAAGCTTCATGGCTGCATCTCCAACCACCCCCGAGCAGTCCCCTAAAATGCAAATTTTTCTTCCAGGAATAGGGTCTTCTACGACATCCGAAGGAGAAATAGTTATTCCATTTTCTAGAACAACTGTAATACCATTCTTCAGTTTTCCATATAGAGGACCAGGCTGAACTCCTGGTAAATAAAAGCAAAAGAGTCAGTAAGCGCCAGGATCAATGTCGGGTTTCAAAGATCTTTGAAGAAGAAATACACTACACGTAGAGCTGCCTCACTGAAAAAATAAAACCTCAATAAAAGTAGCAATTGACATTTCCCATTCCTCATACAAATAAAAAGCTTGTAACTTTGACAGAAGGTGCTTTTGAAAAAAGCTACGTTCTCCCTACTAGAGTCAATAAAGTCATGCAAATACACTGCCATACCTTTCTCTGAAAGCCATGTTATGCTTTTTAAACCTTAACTTCTGAACTTGTTTGCTCTTCTCAATAGGAGAGTAGTCTGCAATACTAATTGGCAGTAGCGTGGTGTACCAATTCAAACTGCTGCATTGGTATAACGTATTAAAATGTTTTTACTAGAAAATGGGATTAAAATGAATTATGGAGAGATATACACAGCTCCAATTTACTAGAATACCTAGAAAGGTGGTCAGAAAAAGATTTCTGCTGCTTGTGAACCCAATTTTACTACAATTGCTGAAAACTGGAGTCAATACTCAGCTTGAGCACGTGCATTTGGACATCTGCTGCCTGCTGATCACTTCTCAGCATCTGAAGCTGCAATGTGAACAAGCTGCTCTCAGAACACGCCTTTCCGGTCTAACAAAGGCATCTAACAGTTCCCATCGGTGTAAGAAAGGCAATTAGAGCTCTGATGCAAAGGCAGCAAGAAGCAGTAATACTGTAAAGGCACTCAGGAATAAGTTCCACAGAATACTGATCTCCAGAGCCCTAAAATTAAAGAGGAAAAAATAAGTCAAAGTAGTTACCAAGGTCTTTTAGTTTTTGTACATTGAGTTTACCCGTCCGTGGCTTCTCTTCCACGACAAAGCCAAATGAAGGAATGCGGTGGAAGAGACGAAATGCTTTCACAACGAACTGCTCATCATCAACTAGCAAGTACGAGTTTTCTACAGGATCCAGGTGGAGTATCTTCTGTTGCACCTCCTCTGAAGGTATTTCATCTCTGGTCAGACAAGGAAGTTCTTTAAACTCTTCTGCAGGACACTGGTCCCGTGTAGGTACAAGTTCGTGAACAACGTAAGGAAACAGAAGCTGCGAGTGGGAGAGCTCCATAGTCATCCATATGAAGTTTTGCAGTCCTAATGGTCCATAAATATCAATGGGTGGTTTGTTTGGGTCAGGGCTACTTTGGAGGCTCAGCGTACACAGCAGGCCAGGAAGTCCAAAAAAATGGTCACCATGAAGATGAGTTATGAAAATCTTTGTAATTCTACCTATTGATTAGAACAATAGGAAAAAAAAGAGAGGAACATAAGCGAACACCATGGCAACTCAGGAATTAATCACTTTTTGGCAAAAAGAAGAGAAAGAAACGAAAGGAAGGAGGGAAATGAAAATAAAACCCACGTTTAAGAACTAACTCCCAAACCACTAAGTATTTTTTTCTACCATAGTGATAACTTTCCACACGAGGTTTATTTCGACTTACAAATGATTTGTCAAAAAAGACTGCTGAGACGTAAGTTTTAGCTACTTCTGAGCAAAACGTGCTAACAGCGTGGAACTGGATCAACTGGTGACATCTGCCATATTAAAACGCAAAGCAGTTCTCGAAAGTGGTTGCACTTTGATATATTGCATGGTAACTGTGGACTAATGAGAAACATAAGGTGGAATTTGTGTTGTTTCTAGTTTAATACACTCATTTAATACATGAAATGAGTGTAATTCAAAAAAAAAAAACACACAACAATTTTGATTCAAAGTTCTTTAAAGAGCCAGACCCCCACGGTTCCTACCAAATACATGAAAAATTTCACGTCAAGATTTGAGCTTTGTTTCCAGACTGACTTTGTCTCACTCCAGCTTCAAGGCACTGGACCCTATCCTTGCTATATTAAAAAAGCCCAGAATTTTCTCTTATTAAAGATACGTATGTATTAACCAAGCTGCATCAGGCTCTTCGTTTAACTAATCAAGTTCCTTCTTCCTTGCTATATGGCATTTTCTCCAGCCACTGAGTCTTTTGGTGGCCTTTTCTGCCTTCCTTTCCATAGAAAACATACTCAAACAGAAACGACATCAAAACTAGATACACTGTTCCAGCTGGCAGTCTCACAGTGAGCTAGCCAGCTTGTATTTACCCAGACCACTTCAGGAGCTCCTTTCTACAAAGGGGGCAACCACTACGACTTGCAGTTTCTCTAGTGCTGCAGTTTGTGAACAGAAAGATGTCAGGGAACCAAAGTCATCTTAATCAGCAATTAGGAGCAAGCAAATTTTGTGTGTATGTTACCAATCTCTAACTTCAGAAAAAATTTAGTTCAAGTCAGTACTTCAGTTCATTCACTTTGACATTAAATCCCATGGTAGATTCAGATTTTAAGGGAGCAGGAGGTGGTTTCTATGTTTGCAACCGTTAATTCCATCTTTAAAACTCATCTGTGAAAGTCAGAAGCCTGCTCTTGCCACTGGAGACTGCAAAAGCACAATGGCTGAAAGCAAGTGGGGTTTCCACGTTATTTGCCAAAACGTAAAAGCTAATAGGAATACACACAACTGTATTCAAAAACAAAAGCAAAATATCTATTGACAGGAAGATTCACAGCAGGTATTGACTGGAGCTGTCTTCAGTCAAACACAGAACAATGAAAGTTTAGGTTCGTGGTCTATGTTTGAAATCACAAGGCCTAAAAAATGAATTCAGAAGAGTTTGGCTCTCGAACGCAATTCTCTACCAAAGGGCAAGTAAGGGCTACTGCACAGCAAGTTCAGCAACTGCCACCCACATGCAGCACGTTCCGGTGCTCACGCATGTTTAGCATATACCCAAATAATATAAGCAGGAGGACAAAGTATTTTGTTTAGACCCTCTGCAACTTTTCCCCTCCCCTCATCACAATAACTTGCAAGAACGCTAACCTGCTTTCAGATGGCTTTTCATAAACTGTGTCTGAGTTCCCTCTCCGCAGTCAAAGAGCCAGCACTCCCCTTCTCTGCGAAGCACTAACGCTGACGCGCCCCTCGTTGGAGAGGGGTACGCGGAGCCTGTCCCAAGGAAAGTTATATCCACGGACATCTTAAACCGGTCAGTTTGCCACCTGAAATGGACATTTCAAGTCACTGAAGGTGCTCATTTCTGCTGGGAAAGAAACACACATCTTTGCTTTAAGAGCTGGTATCCTACTTACTTTAGTGCGAGGATCAAATTCTCCTTCTCTTAAAAAAACCCATTTCCCTGGAGTAGGACTTGACTTCGGGACAACACAACGTTTACACACAGCAGATTTCCTTTTTACGTGGATGGAAGGTTTGAAAACAATACACAGCAAATGTTAGCTGCGGCCTTTGTTCATTACCTAGATATTAAAAACAAACAAAAAAAAATCCTAACCAGCTGAAAAATACGCTAATCTAGTTTTCAAAACTGCTGCTATTTCTTTCTTCTCCACTTCTTTTAACCTTAAATGTTCCTGTTGCCTGGTTGTAGGAGTGTTCCTCCAACCATTTTTCCCTCCCCAAAGGCACGCACTTTCCTCTGAAAAGCCTTTCCAGAATGACTAATATCAAATAGCCCATACCGACATTTAAAAGCCATTAGCGGACTTCAGAAGCAGACAGCCCAGCAGAAGAGAGGGGAAAGATTCACTTCCCTCAAAACAACTTAAGAGACCGCAAAAGGCAACAGCTCACTGATTTACTTTGCCTTGGGAAAGACATCTTTGAGAACAAATGATGTTTCACTCATCAGTGTAAAGTGAAAAATTAAATACTACAAAATCTTTATGTAGCCTAAAGGCTGTGTAATACATCAAGTGACACCTATTGTCACGGAAGGATCTACATAAACAGCTGTCCTACGTGAGCTGTTTATTTATTCACCGTACTGTTTGAGCGCTCTGTTAGAAGCTCGACTAGCTCATGGTTGATTTTTAACTTGTCTTGAGATATACTCGCGTTTTCTTCAGCATTAGTCTTCTGAGACTTAGCTTCTACCTCATTTCCAGGTGCATTCCCACATCATTTTAAACTGCTACCGCAAACGGCCCCAAATACCTTCGAAGGAAAAGAGCTACCGTCTATTCAGGTTCAGTTATTTCTGTAGGAGCTGCCACAACTCTCTGTAGGAGAACAGTCCATTCCCCTGTTACATCCACAGGGATCTCAGAAGCACGTTAAGCTGCAACATGGGGTTACCCTGACTTTGTGGGAGGGGTGGGGGAAGGCAGATGAGAAACATCCATCACATCCCCAAAAGGCAGAAATACACATTTTGCTCGCTTTAAAGAAGAACGTTATTCTCTGCCTAGAAGCGGACTACTACCTTCTAAGGGGAGCAAGAGAAGGAACGGGTTTTGGACCTCCCAGCGTGAATTTGTTCCCCCCTCCAGCAGCAGAGCACGAGTTACAGGTTCACGCTCCAGCAAAGGCAGCGACGCCCAGCTCTCCCAGCGCAGGCTCGAGGCTGAACGGCTTGTAAGAAGATCTCACAGCCGTTTCCACCATACGGGTTCGGAGCCCGCGCCTGGCACCGCCGCCGCCTCAACTTCTTCCTGCAGCTGCCGCGCTCTCCTCGTCCGAAACGAGCTTTTGCAGAACGACTTTCAAACGGGAGGAAGCGACAGGTAGTTGAACGCCAGCCACGGCGAAGGCGACTGGGAGTCCTCCAGAAGCGACGCGACGGGGAAGACAAGTTCTCATTAGGAAATTTGTAAGGCACCCGCCGAGGCCGGCCCGGGCTTTCCTCTCGCGCCGCCGGCGGGGCGGT